ATATGGGCTGCTTTTCTGAAGAGATAAGAGCAGAATGTAGAAGGAGAGGGTATGAAATGGCGAGCTGTAACAGACGGCCATTTTATCTTGTGTGCAGTGGGGACAGCAAATGGAGGAGCGTGGCGTTGGCGGAGAAGGAGGGAGGTCTATAAAATAAAATGATAAACATTTCAGAATAAGAAAGAAACACGGTGTCAGTCGACGCCTGAAGTAGCAATATGTGGAGAGCTCATGTTGTTGATGATAATAATATTAATTCAATTTATATTTATATATTATAATGCTCGTTAAAACAAAACAAAAATAACAGATGAGCATAAAAAATGAATACAAAAAAATAAACGAAAATAATTATAGTAACACTGTAGATGTAATGTTAAATAAATAGACCAAATAGTACCACGCATGGAGAACATGTTCTCAAGGGAAATAGTATTTCAATAAAAAATATAAAAATTAAAAAGCAGATCTAGTGTTCGCAGTGATAAACAATGTTACCTTCTCAAGCACTCATAAGGAACCGAGGATCAAATATTATAAGTTTAAACGTCAAAAGTTCAAACCGTGAGTATGACGAACATTGACTGAAGAAATGAACTGCAACAAACCGGAACATTATTTTTGTACGTTTTTATCTTCATTACCTCCTGCTTAGGAGAGATTATTATAGCAACCGACCGAAGAAAAGGCCTACTTAAGACCTAGATATATTAAAGCGAAGTATAAAACTTTAGGAGGACCAGGAGAAGAAGAATTTATCACTTAAAAACCTGTACAATTAATGTGTCGGCGAAAATAATAACAAAACCTTAGGGAAGTAGCTAACAGTGATACAAAAATAAACGAAAAGAAATAAAATTATAGGCAGGGATATATACAAAGAATGAATGAAAAGGAAGTGCATTAAATTAAAAGAAGAAGAAACACAGAAAGGAAAGTAGTGAACAAAAGCAGAAAAAGAAAGCCCATAAAGTAAAACGCATGAAAAAAAATTAGTGCGAAGAGCAACAAGCATAAAGGAGAAAGTGAGAACATGAAGGAAAGTAAATCACAAAAAGAAACGAATGAAAAACAAAGAAATATCAGAGAAATGAGTCATACTAATGTGCAGATGTAGGACTCTCACATTTCTATACGTTTTCGCGTTCAGAAAACAAGGACAAAAGCCCTATGATGTATGAATTCGCGTCTCTTATGTATTTTCTTTATACCCGCATTAATGCAATTGAATGACGAGAATAGACTGAAGAAGACCACGGACTGGATAAAAATAAGTGTGGAAGAATTGAGAGAGAAATGAGGAGATGTTAATCGTTCTTAATATGACAAATATACGACACGTGCGAGACGGGAGGGGGGGGCAGATGGCTATAAATTCCGGGATGATGTCTTCATCTCACTAACCAATTTCCCCAGCCAGCAGTCACCGTTCTAATTCCCCTCCCCATCATGTTCTTGTATCTCTGTTGGCTCTTTCAATTGCGTGGAACACTCCAGTGGTTCTCTCTGATATCCACACACAAATACGTAGCCCTAGTATTGGGGATCGGTAATAAACGGTAAGTTACTAAACCACACACATGCGCATCACTACAGGGCTGCTGAAGTGGAAGAACACAATAAAACGTTGTAGAAAGAACTCTTGACACCTCTTTTTTTTCAACGACTTCAATCCATGTGATGAAAGTATCAGGAACCATAGGTTTAATATATTTACTGATATATCTGTGTACACGAAGAGTACACAACGTTGTGCAAACAGTTGAAAGCTAAGAGAAGTTTCGGAAGAAGTTGTAACCTCCATATCCAGGGCCCTGCTTACTATCTGCTTCACATATTTTCGTGCTTCCCTTATTATTCCATTCTCTGCGCGGTTCGTGCAACAGATATGAGACGCAGCAACCGAAGAACTGCTGGGCGTATCTGGTAGGTCCTGCGACCGGCTAAATGACCAAGTTTTTTCGTGGTTTTCTTCGGTCCTAGAGCAAATTCTGAATTGGTACCCAAATTCGACGTTGCACTGCATGCCTCACATGTAGAACCTCCCATTGGTAACATCAAATTTTCGCCCTAATATAGCCCTCCCAACGTTAGCTTAAAAAACATTACTATAATGCACCCCTTCCATCGTCATGAAAAAACATACGTGTATATAAAAAAATCTGATTATATGCTGTACCTATACCAGAGGACAAGCGGGCACTGCCTGAGAACCTTCAAAATCGGAGATATATTTTCTTACCCCCCATGTAGTGTCTCTCACTATCACCTCCCACTTCTTCTTCTTCCCTTTCTCTCACTGCTCGGAGAGGTGTTTTCTATGCGGCCCGTGCCGAGGTGTTATAAGCAGGGCAAGTCTAGAATTTAGTTAGTTGTGAGACAGTCGTCGACAACCAAGGGCGTGAACTCGGAAACTGAGGAAGCTAAGGTGTTGGAAGCCAATACAAGGCGACAACCGGTGATTATAGAGCAAGCCGAGAAGATTTAGTTCGTGTTGTAGTGAATTGCAGAGTGTGTGAATTGGTGACAGCGGTGTAGTTACTTGTAGTTACGTTCTGTAAGGGTTCAATAATTCCAATTACCAATCCAAACCTCTTATACTGCGAATACTCACTCACACACGCGTCAGTAAAAAGTATCCTAGCGTTGGGCGTTTTGATCAGCAAATGGGGGATAGCAGCTTCTTGACGCGAAAAATAGTAAGTATTCACATAATTTTATCACGAATATAATTTATAATTACTAATTATGTTCCCAAGTTTCCTGATACCAAAATTAAAAAAAAAGGTTAAACATCCTTGTAACAGGCCTAAAGGCCCATATTGTTGTGAGACATCGAAGCTCCCACATTTTCTCTAGACCGGCTAACAGGTGGCGAAGGTTGCCAGCCTTACGAGCCCGCCGCTCTTTACCCCCAGGAAGATTCCTGGTATTCATTTCAGTTAGAAGCTGAATCGACCCCAGGAGCATAGTGCGGCTGGAAGTATTATGTACGTAAATTTAAAATATCCACCCCATCGGGACTCGAACCCGCGACCTTCCGGCTTGTAACAGTGCCTCAACCAACTACGTTACAGCCTGCCCTCCTTAAACATTCTCAAATCACCTACCATGGCTTTGATAGTTCCGTACTTATAAACAAGTAGGAAAGAAGCAACATATAACAAGTCAGTTAATACTGTACCAACAATTACTTCGTACACGCTATAAACGAAAATGTTCCTATTAGTGCTGTACCGGGACTTCAGTATGTTTTGCTGAGATGCTAAAAGCATATTTATGTACACATTTCCTCTGTGAAACCGTTTAAAGTAACATGAACATTGCTAACTTTAGATCGCTAATGAGAGCTCAGCCAGTACAGCGACGGGCTACGGGCTCGTCGGTCGGGTTTCAGTTCCCGACAGAGGCAAAAGATTAATGTTTACTCCACAGCGTCCAGAACGGCTCTGGGGCCCGCCCAGGCTCCTAATCAAAGGACAATACGGGCTTCTTCTTCCCTGGGGTATAGCGGCCGGGGCGTGAAGCGTACGTAGCTCTACACATCCGCTCCTCCATGCGTCTCCATGTCGTAGAACTTAATTGTATAATCTCAGGGACAATATTACCATTCACTCACTCATGGAGCTGAGCCCTTCTTGAGAAGCCGCCAATTGTGTAACTACTGAAGAACTTCCCAGCATTTTATGGAAGCCGAAGGTTCATTACCGTGTTCACAAGAGCCCTCCACCGCTCCCTATCCTGAGCCAGATCGATCCAGTCCACACCAAACTATCCTACTTCTCTAAGATACATTTTAATATTGTCCACCCACCTGCGTCTTGGTCGTCATAGTGGCCTCTTTCCTTCTACCTTTCCCACAAGTATCCTACGTATCCTCTTTTCATCCATTCGTGCTACATACCTTTCTCATCTCATCCTCCTTGACTTGATCATTCTAATTATACTTGGAGAAGCGTACAAGTTACGAAGCTCCTCATTATGTAGTTTTGTCCAGCCTCCTGTCACTTCATCTCTCTTCGGTCCAAATTCCTCAGCACCCTATTGTAAACACCCTAAGTATATGTTGCTCCCTTAATATCAGACACTAGGTTTCACACCCATACAGAACCACAGGCAAAATTATAGTTTCCATAGGAATATGTATATTCGCATGCTTGTTTCGGTGCCACCTCAGTCCCACCTGACCTCCTGACTTATCTGACCTAACGTATATTTTGATATTACCTTAGTGAGTTAGTTATTGGAGAGGGTGGGTTTCCCCATGCACTTAGACCTGTATTGGTCCATTGTGCTTCCCTCTATAATTTCTACCAATCTCTATATCCTACCGGTACTGGTGCTTACCACCAGTCCCGCCCAGCCAGCGAGACCGGCTCTACTAGCTGAGAGGTATCTATAATGCTTCCCCCATCTACCAGAGGTATTAGGGACTGCTGTTGGGCGGGAAACGTCCGTTAATTTGGCTCAGTGACCTCCTTTGGAGATATGAGGTTCTTTTACGTGCCGTAAAGCTACGACACGCGACCCACGGCTTAAAGTCCCTCACGGAGGACTTGTTCCCTGAATTTTTCCGCCCTTAAAAATTCGACGACTTCCGCCGGGTATTTGAACCCGCGTACTACGAGTCATGAGGTGGGAACGTTACCTCTAGACTACGGATGCCGGTTTTGATATTACTTTAATATGATGACTATAATATGCGAGAATATAGTAAAAAGAGAGTTAATTACACCAACTGCTAATGCATATGACCATATATGAAGAAAGGTATTATGAGAAATTCCTTTAAAAGGGAACATACCAATTACGAAGCATGTTCCAGACGGTACGACCCCTGAATAATAATAATAAAAAAAAGCTGAAGCGTCTCACACAAAGATAAAATCATTTGTCATCATTTTAACCTTTCTCACTTGACCTGCCATGTCAGAACCAGTAGCATAATGAGGAATTATCCTTGTCAATGATGCAACAGGTCATATGTATCAGCTGCCTTCCCTCAGGTTGGACGCTCAGTCTCCACTTTGCGCGAGGAATAAACAGTTTGTGATGTGTCTCGACGGAATAGCTCCAGAGAAATGTGTTCAGTACAAAGCCGAGAAATATAATAAATTATTAAAGGTAAGAAGCTGTATAACGGAACATTATGAATACAATTAAGAGCGAACTGACGTGCCAGTGGCATTTCAACACTACAGTGTTGCAGTCAGGGCTACAGGTTGACAGAAATATGAATGAACACATATTTCTTTCGTGCTTTTGTGTTTGAGAGAGTCGATGTATTCACGGCAGTGATTAAGAATATTACTTGGGTATGTAATGTGACGCCATGAAGTCTAGAAGATGAAGAGTTCTATCTTCTGGGATATAACGGTATATACTGCGTCAATTGACGTTTCGTAGGAAAATCTCGCCTCCATATTCAGGGCCTAAGAATAACCTAATTCTTCTACCATGTCCCAGAAGACAGAAATCTTCATAACCACAGTTATAAAAATTTCAAATCCTATACAGTGTGAAAGATAGTTACCGATGTTTCGGAGGAACATGCTGCCTCCATTTTCAGGACAGAAGAATGAGCCGAGCATGCAACAGTAGGGGTAGAAGCCCTCAGTAAGGACAATGGAAAAGCAAATGAGGCCCTTGAAAAAGCTGTTTTTATTAATTTATTTTTATTATTTTAAAAAATAAAAGGAGGCTTATGGGATCATCTTGCCCTCTGTGTGTCTGTGTGTCCGTGTGTCTATGATGCCATGTATTCGTAAGTCTATATATCTGCTTATCACCCATAAATCTTAGAAGACCGAACTGTGAAACCAACAGAAATGGACGTTACACTACCATATAAACATATACGTGACGTGTGACATGACGCCTGAAAGCCGGAATAGTGCAGTCAGAGAAGCGCCGCGAATATGGCCATTGAGAGATAACGGCTCGGTAATTACTCGTAGATCTTCAACTCCAAGGTTTCTGCGCGCTGCGACGAACTTCCAACCATGGTCTTGCTTTCTGTCTGACAAAAGCTGTTGGTGACTGCAAGCACAGTTCATGTTAGGTTCGGGTTCAGCGGGACCCTTCTCAGAGCAATGTTTCCTGAGGTCCTGAGCAAAGAGTTGTCATCTTTACATAACTTCGGGTCGGAACGCAGAGAACGTACTGCCTCCACCATTTTCCCTGTTGTTAAGCTACTTTCTCTCTGTGTCTGTATCTTCTTTATCGTTGCTAGGCAACGGCTCGGAAAACACGTTCCCGTGTCAAAGAATACAAACGTAACAATGGAAGGATCTATGGAATTGTCGTTTTCTATGCAGTCCGTGTCCTATCAAAGTAAAGTAGGCGATTGGTTCTTCCCAGAACTTCTTTGTTTTCTTTTCGAGTAGGTAAATGGGAAAAGAATGGCTCAGAATGTCCAAATTGTGGTATGGGAAGGTCAAGAGAGAGAGCGAGAGAGAGGAAAAGTAAGGAAAGCAATGGAAAATGTTTCACTCAGTGCCCTTAATGCGGCCTTTCCTCTCTGAAAGGTAAAGCTGTCCCTGTAACAGGGCTTGAAGACCTACATGGTTATTAGACGTCGAGACTCCTACATCTTTTAGATAATTGGCTCACAGATGGCGGTAAGACTTTCAGCCTTACGAGACGGCCGCCCTTTACCCCCCGAGGAAGATTCCTGGTACTCATTTCTGTTAGAGGCTGAGTCGATCCCAGGGCCATAGTGCGGCTGGAAGGATTAGATAAAGTGGAAAGAAAATACAATTACCTCACCGAGAATATAACCCGCGACCTTGTGGCTTGTACCATAGTGTCTCAACGAACTATGCTACCGCGTGTCCCTTCTCTACACCAGTACCAATTTCTTTTCCATGCCCGGCTCACTCGGCTGCTCTGAAGATGGACACTGCTACACCTCTACAGGACTACATGACGGCACATCCTGGCGCATCTGTATGTCATCTGTCAATTAAATTTTAATTTCCATTTGTGAGAACTGTGCTAATATATGGTACCATCTCCATTTCTGAACATAACATGTAGACGAAGTTTCAGTGTCCAGGGTAAGAGGATTGTACAAAACAAGGTGATAGCATAGATTTAGTGTTAAGCTACAGGTATGTTAACTGTTATTGAGAACAATACGACACCAAAGCCATTTGTTTCACACATTTAATTTTACAATTGTTCCCAAAGCGTCGTTAAATAAGCAACCTAAAATGTACAACTTTCTCCCTCCTACTTTTCGGGCTCATAAACCCATTCCCACATACGTCTTCACGGCAGGGAAACTATACCTTTAAACATCCCGCAGGGTCGACAATGTTCCGTCTGTGCCTTGCCTCTTCTTGCATATGCACTGTTGTCCGTCTCTGGCAGAGACGCGCCTCGGCGCTTTCTGCCCCAAGCGGCCGAGCGCCTACCCCGTGTAATCCCGGCAAGAATCAACCTCCTCCTTCTTTCCTTCCTCTCCCTACCTGGGCGAGTAATCGGGTAAGCGCGAAGATTACCCCTTAGTGGATAGACTGACGGACACACACACACATGCACTCACTGAGAAGCAAGCAGACACACACGTTCTGACATACACACGGACGCACTGAAAAACACAGGCAGTGACACACTCATACACACAGGCACACGCACTGACATAAGCACACACAGCGCACACACACACACACACACACACACACACACAAGTACAGACGAGCGCGCTCTGGCGCACTCACGCACGCACTGAAACACACATGCAAGTAACACTCATACACACAGGCACACACACACGCACTAATACGCACACCATTGCACAACACGCACACAGTTGAGCCTGCGCACAACGAGGGAAGAAGATGAGGTGGAAATTTCTGGGAGCTTCCAAAAGTCGAGCACCGTGGCATATCACGAGCCAAGCCCGGAGTATCTTGGGCAACTGGAAGTGTGGTGAACTGGACAGACGGACAGACATGACGAAGCTATTAGGTGCTTCTCGCTATTTTTCTGAAGGCGCCAATATAACACACTACACCAGTAGTATTTCTGTGAATTCAATGGAACAGGAAGTTAAGGACTTGGCGATGTGTAATTTCTGTACACCCAAACACCACAAGCAGAGGCCCGAAGTCCTTGTTAGGAACCGGCCTCCTTATGGCACCCTTGCCCTTGTCCTATACTGTAAACAGTTCTACGTGTACATTATCTATTAGTTAATGATAAACTACATAAAGCTACATTTCGGTAATAAGGCAAAGATAATATTTCAACATCCTGTACATGGCTTCCTAACTCGTAGCTCCATGTTCGTTATATTAAACACATTACTGGTTTATGTACGCGTAAATAAAATAATTTTATTTAAAATATTACGAAACATCCACTTATGTTACACCATGCCTATCAGGGTGCTGTCTCTTATCACACAGCCTCGGATGCCAGAGGATGCATAGAGATGCAGCCCACTGCATGGAAGTGTTAAAAAGAGTCTCAACTAGAAAGTGGGGGTCGCAGCGGTCATTCGCACGGGCAGCAGTCACTAACCTCCTCACCCCGAACCTCCCTAACGAATATGTATGTTGGGGGTGGACCTTCTGCTTTGCTCTGAAGGCATCCTTCCTTGCCAGCGGCATAGCCGCGGCGTGCGTCTCGCCCACTGCAATAGACGAGATCCCTGACGAAGTTGCGAGCTAACCCCGACCAACAACGGCCAGGTAGCATGGAATACTCGCCCGTTTCAGGTCTTCGCTAGAACTATCGCACTCTATAAAACGTATTCACTTATTTATACACTTGCAAATATGAAGTCTCTTATTTAATTTACTTGATGTACACTCGATCTTTATTTGCATTGATTAAAGTAACTCACACACAAGAGTTGGCAACAACATCATAGGCAGGGGCAAGGAACAATATACAAATTGGAACAAATCGTAACGCAAAGAAAGGGCCGACGAACATAAGCAACACACAAACACCAAGCCGCAACATAGAACTATATCATTTGGACAAGTGGACGACGCCCCATATAGAGGCGCGACGATTATATAATTTTAAGAATTTTTAAGAAATTTCAAACCAAAATTAAATTAGAAAGTAAGTGAAATTAATCACTGGAAATAAATATTGAGTGTACATCAAGTAAATTAAACAGGAAACATCACATTTGCAGGTGTGAACATTTTATATGCTTTATACTGTGCGACACTTTTGGCGTAGAGAAAACCCTTGATGATGACCGTCTGAGGCCGAAACGTGTCGTAAGGAGGAGGAACATAAGCGAAAATAATTGCATTGAGGCCTGAATATGTTGTAACGTGGATGGCCAGAGCGTTGCTGGGTAACGGACCGGTAAATATACGTGATACACATTGTCAACGGTGGAACAATAAGGTTATGTAACCCGCTTCTAGAGCAACGTTTCAGTAAACAGAATTCCGCGCAGGCGCAATGACGTCACACTGCAACAGTGGTCGCTATCACTTAACTGGCTTCCTATGGAGTCCATATCGCGACCATTGCTATGCAATCGCTAGATAAGCTTTTACTTATGCTCGTAAATCTTCGTCCACACTACTTCAGTTGCTCGCTAGGCTTCGGCGCGTGAGGATCCGTATATTTACTTGTAGTGTGTATAGGCTATAATTTTTATATTACAAATTTAAAATTTGATTGTCTCGTGACTTGTCATATCGTCCACATTACTCGCGAGCATAGCGAGTCACACGAGAACAAGTAATGTGGACGCGCCTTAATAGGAACTTTGCTTTGCGAACAAGTTCAAGTCGGTTATATACAGGATATTTCTAAATTATTGTCGGGGTGTTCGTTTATAGGTCATGGAAAGCCCGACAAAAATTTAGAATCAAGCATGTAGCTGTTGAGAGGTGTGCATTCATGGAGCACACGTTATCGGAGGTGGGTTATCCTCAGGGCTTACGGGCAGGAATAGCTCAGCCAATGACGGCTGGATGACCGGCTCTCGATAAGCAGTAAAGGCGTTGATTTTGCGAGATATGTTGCCAAGCCAGCATCCTCTCTAACGAGGCCAGACGGCTGGAGCGTCACCATCTTCTCATGCCGATGTTTCGAACACATTGGCTGTTTGTCTTCATGGTGTACTTGAGCGTAGCCGTTAA